GGCTCATCTTCCAGCATCATATCTTTTAGCCTTTTGTTTCTGTCTATGGGGTATCCTCGACAAAGATACTGGAGTGGCTTGCCATTCCTGCTCCAGGTGGATCGCATTTAGTCCAAACTCTCCACTATGACCTGTCTGTCTTGGGTGTCCCTGCACGGCATAGCCCATAGCTTCTCTGAATTATAGTACTCAAGACCCTTCACCATGAGAAGGCACCAATCTGTGAAGGGGATTGAAAGACATACTAAAGCCCTAATGCTGCCAAGAGAAACCGACCTGATTCTACTCTGGCTTGTTAATTTGGGTTTTTTTGACAAGAACACAGAAAAGTCTGTTTTTATGGGAAGGACGGTCATTTGTGACTGCCAGCAGCTGATGACAACTCTCACAGTTCCTCCCCATAGGATAAATTACAAAGATCTGATAAGTGTTTCACTCTGAAAATCTTTGAAGATCCTCAAATGCCTCCCGCATCTTAATTGATCAGTGCACAGATCCAGCTACATTGCAATCCTCTGCATGTTTGTCTCATTGAGTTCAATGGGGTTTATTCCCAGAAAGAGGTGTATAAAGTTGCAGCTCTAGCATCCTTCTCCACACAACAGCAGGGATGGGGACTCAAGCCATGGAACTCACTGTCAGGTTGGACTTACTATAAGTCGCACTCGTGACTTGACTTGGACTCAACTCAGAGTTTTTTCCCCAATGACTCGAACTTGACCTCTAACTCAGAACCTACCCACTTCCTCCCTTTTTTCTGAGTAAAAAGGGCTTGTTTTTAATAGGGACTTGGGGCTTTGTACCAGAGACTCTGACTTGGATTTGTGCAGCACCAAAGACTCTGACTCACACTTAGGTCCTGGACTCAAAGACTTGCCAGCCTTCCTGCAAAATAGTCTATCAGATCATCTTCCCTAATATGTGACATGTCAGGAAAAGGCAGAGCATCTCTTTACTCCACAAACTGAGCTTCTGTTGACGAGGAAGTTACTTTGATATTCTCGTTTTCAGCCTCTTAGTCACAAACAATCATCAAAACCAAAACAAACGAAGAGGTGAAGAAAAACTCCAATGCACAATTCACCCCTGTTGCACTACCAAAGTCTCTTCACAATCACAAATACAAAAGCACAACAACTCTTGTACCTCCTCTTTGGAACTTACCTTCCATTGAGGCCATGCACCTGCTTTGTGCTTGCATCATAGTAGAGGCAGAAGCAATCTCCACCTATGCCAGTACTGCATGGTTCAGTGACATTTAAAGCAGCTGCTACAGCCACTGCAGCATCAACAGCATTGCCGCCATTCTTTAAAATGTCTGCAACAATAAGCAGTAAAGTTTTGCTCACTCAGAACTTCACAGTAATCTCCCTGAGGGGAAGCTGAAAGTAGCAACTACCTGGGTAACAGAAGGCACAAACAGACATTACAGATACACCATAATCATTAGAGAAATATCCTTACAGGCTGTTTGTATGTGAGTGTCACAAAAGAAGTTTCCTTCTCCACCTCCAGTTTGCAAATTAGCTCAGTTTATTTTGTGACTGGTCTTTAGGAATTAAGCACAGGAATCTTCAATCATTAAAGTCTGCTTTCACAAATACAAAAGCTTTCCTAAATCATTTTTATGCTTCCCAGCAACTCCTGTTGTTTAGCATCACAAATTGCACTAGAGTAGGCTCACTGAATTAGTGGAAATTTAGTGAGTCAATTCTTCTATCCATTCCATTGAATGAGCTTACTCCAACTGCAACTTACTGTGCTAAAGTGCTAACTCACAGCAAGACTAGGTCCATTGAAATCAATGGAACTTATAAAGTCACTCACCAAATCCCCATTGATTCAATGTGTCTACTTTAGTGCAATTTACTGTGCTAAACTGCTGGGTTTTGGCCATAATCTATAACTTTCTGCCCAGAATAGCAAAGGAAGTACAGGATCCTGAGAATTAAATCAATAAATGAGAACTAAAGTAAAGAATTCTCACCGGCTTTATGTGTAACCCAGATGGTAAACTATAAGAAGAGTGTTGCTCTTCTTATATCTATGCAGCAAGTTGCATTGATTCAATGGGTCTACTCCAGTTACAACTTACTACTGAATTTCAGCCAGTGAAAGATAAGTGAAGCTGACTCAGCCAGAATCCAGGATAGGAGCATCTGCAATCACTAGCTGAATAGACAGCTGGGTTTGCTTCTGGCTTGCCTTTCTCTAAGAGTGAAGGTAGAAGAAGCAAAGTAAACTGAGCTATGGTGCTTTTGCTTTCATGATCTTCAAAAGCCAATTTTCCAAAGGGGCATTGTTCAAAGTCTTATAGCATCCACTGCCAACCCCCTTGAATTCTCATTCCAACAACCCCATTACAAAATAAGATCTTTTTGATCAACTTTGTCATGCTTTTGGCTGCCTGGGACCTGTTCAAGCCAAGGAAAAGCCTCTGTTTGGAGCTGGAATTGATTAGAAGTATATTATGTCTTCCAGAGAGTATAGACAGTGCTTTAAAAACACTTCTTTACTCTGTGAGAGTGTGTGTGTTGGGAAGCACTCAGAAGTGTCTGGAGAGTTCAGGGGTGCTGGGGCCAGTCCTTCAAGACCCAGAGGAGGCACTTGCAGCCCCTGGACTCTGACAGCACTCTGGCAAGCCAGGTTTGGCCTGCGGGGTGAAAATTTCTCATCCCTAGAGTATAAGATATAACTGAAACGTGCTCCTCCCTTTGCTACCTCCAGTCCATTTCAGCCACCTTGTTGACACCGTTGGTATAATGACTCCATTCAGCACCATATTCCAACAGGATATCTGTCCTGGGAGCACCATCATAACTGGTGCCCTGTTGGGTTTTCACAGAATGTAGAAGGCTTTGAAGAAGCAGATCTTCAACCTATGTCAGTCATACAGAATTAAAGCATCACTAATTTAGGGCCTGTCCAAATGGGGAAATTTGGAATGGTCTAGTTGGCCCTTAAGAGGTTCTTATCTTCAGTGTGATCTCCTTTATCTCTCACTTGAGCAATCTTTCCATGAGAAGGGTCCACAGAGGTCTTTGGCTTACTGGTTTACCTGTGAGCAAGCTTACCCTGGCTTGCTTATGAGTAAGGAGACAACAGCAGCAGCATGAAGGGAAAACAATGGGGTGAAGGTCAGGAAGCTGGAAAGGAGGTAGCCCAGCTTTCTCCTCAGCAGGGGCTCTGCTGCATTATGGGAGTAGAGCCCATGGACTAGACATAGCCCTCTTCCCCATCTTTTCCCACAGCCATCATCCAGTGGGCCACGGTGGACTGAAACTTTATTTAAAATGTGAAATAAAGTAAGTGGTATATCAAAAGAGCAATGCATCAACCTATCATGGTATTATATTGGTATATTGGAATCATGGTATTGATTCACTGCATCAATATGGGAAATATTTTTAAAAATAAGACAAAAACAGAGAAGGCTTTTTTTCCCATCTTTCCTTTTAATATCACAACTCACCCAATAAATCACAGGGTTATCTCCTCAGTTAAGGGTGCCCGTAACTCCATGCCAAATTGTGCCAAAAAACCCAGAAGCCCCTAGTGCTGTGCCAGAAAGGGGCAGGACAGCTCTTAACGGGACAGGATGGATTAATTTAAGTACTGTACACTACTGCTCATATTCTTATACTTCTCATATTCTCAGGGGACTTGGTGGCACTGCGGGTTAAACTGCAGAAGCCTCTGTACTGCAAGGTTAGAGGACCAGAAGTCATAAGATCAAATCCACGCGATGGAGTGAGCTCCTGTCACTTGTCCCAGCTCCTGCCAACCTAGCAGTTTGAAAGCATGTAAAAATGCAAGTAAATAAATAGGTACCACCATCGTGGGAAGGTAACAGTGTTCCACGTCTAGTCACGCTGGCCACGTGACCACAGAAACTGTCTACGGACAAATGCTGGCTCTACGACTCGGAGACGGGGATGAGCACTGTGCCCTAGACTCGGACACAACTGGACTAAAATGTCAAGGGGAACGTTTATCTTTACCTTACTTCTCATATATGTTGAACGTCATGAAAACCATATTGTGTTCACCATAACTCAGATGCGTTGACAGCAGATATGAAGAAAAAATATTCAGTCTGGAATAATTCACTGAATTCCAAAGAATGTATAGAGTCCATCCATCAAAGCAGGGCTGGAAATTTTACTGGCATCTCTAAAGCTGTTTTTACAGGCTTCAGAGTCCTCCAACCACCACCCCCCCAGGACCCTAATGATTAAAGGAACTGTAAAATGAATTACCAAGGCCAATGTTTGTGGCAAGAGGCTGGCTTGATGCAACACAGGCATTGGTGCAAATCACTGGAGATCTCCGGGAACAGAACTTAAGCTCTGACATCATTTGGGCAACAACAATATCCAGTCTGCACACAAAATAGAAAAACAAATTTAAAATGAAACCTGAACTAGAGTAGAAAAACATATCTGAATCCCCAAATCATTGGATACAAATGGAACCAAATAATAACCACCACATATTTTAGTAACTCTTAGGTTGCAGGTTTAAACTGTCATTATTTCTTCTACTTTATTTCTTTTGAACAAGTTGAAGTTTACAGTGAATAATACTGAAATCACCTCATATTTGACACTTTATGCAACACTCTTTCTTTGTTTTGGCAAATGAAAGGGAACTCCCTAACAAGGATCATAATTTTCCTCAGCCCCCTGCCATTCAGCAATTGAAAGCTAAAATTATCCAGGATTATATTATTACAGTGGGGTCTCGACTTACGAACGGCTCGACATACGAACGTTTCAACTTGCGAACCGCTCTCATAGGACTATATGGACTCGACTTACAAACTTAGATTTGAGTTACGAACTCTTTTTTTCCTTTTTTTAAAAGCTAAGTCATCTTAGGTTAAAAGAAAAAAAGAAAAAATATCCCCCTCTAGCGGCAGAAGGCGGAATAGCAGCTTCCCATTAGTTTCTATGGATGAAAAGAGCAGATACAGATTACAGTATTTGAATCATGGTATTGATTCATTGCATCAATTAGGGAAATGTTTTTTAAAAATAAGACAAAAACAGAGTTTTTTTTCCCCATCTTCCCTTTTAACATCACAACTCACCTAATAAATCACAGGGTTATCTCCTCAGTTAAGGGTGCCCGTAACTCCATGCCAAATTGTGCCAAAAAACCCAGAAGCCCCTAGTGCTGTGCCAGAAAGGGGCAGGACAGCTCTTAACGGGACAGGATGGATTAATTTAAGTACTGTACACTACTGCTCATATTCTTATACTTCTCATATTCTCAGGGGACTTGGTGGCACTGCGGGTTAAACTGCAGAAGCCTCTGTACTGCAAGGTCAGAGGACCAGAAGTCATAAGATCAAATCCACGCGATAGAGTGAGCTCCTGTCACTTGTCCAAGCTCCTGCCAACCTAGCAGTTTGAAAGCATGTAAAAATGCAAGTAAATAAATAGGTACCACCATAGTGGGAAGGTAACAGTGTTCCACGTCTAGTCACGCTGGCCACGTGACCACAGAAACTGTCTACGGACAAATGCTGGCTCTACGACTCGGAGACGGGGATGAGCACTGTGCCCTAGACTCGGACACAACTGGACTAAAATGTCAAGGGGAACGTTTATCTTTACCTTACTTCTCATATATGTTGAACGTCATGAAAACCATATTGTGTTCACCATAACTCAGATGCGTTGACAGCAGATATGAAGAAAAAATATTCAGTCTGGAATAATTCACTGAATTCCAAAGAATGTATAGAGTCCATCCATCAAAGCAGGGCTGGAAATTTTACTGGCATCTCTAAAGCTGTTTTTACAGGCTTCAGAGTCCTCCAACCACCACCCCCCCAGGACCCTAATGATTAAAGGAACTGTAAAATGAATTACCAAGGCCAATGTTTGTGGCAAGAGGCTGGCTTGATGCAACACAGGCATTGGTGCAAATCACTGGAGATCTCCGGGAACAGAACTTAAGCTCTGACATCATTTGGGCAACAACAATATCCAGTCTGCACACAAAATAGAAAAACAAATTTAAAATGAAACCTGAACTAGAGTAGAAAAACATATCTGAATCCCCAAATCATTGGATACAAATGGAACCAAATAATAACCACCACATATTTTAGTAACTCTTAGGTTGCAGGTTTAAACTGTCATTATTTCTTCTACTTTATTTCTTTTGAACAAGTTGAAGTTTACAGTGAATAATACTGAAATCACCTCATATTTGACACTTTATGCAACACTCTTTCTTTGTTTTGGCAAATGAAAGGGAACTCCCTAACAAGGATCATAATTTTCCTCAGCCCCCTGCCATTCAGCAATTGAAAGCTAAAATTATCCAGGATTATATTATTACAGTGGGGTCTCGACTTACGAACGGCTCGACATACGAACGTTTCAACTTGCGAACCGCTCTCATAGGACTATATGGACTCGACTTACAAACTTAGATTTGAGTTACGAACTCTTTTTTTCCTTTTTTTAAAAGCTAAGTCATCTTAGGTTAAAAGAAAAAAAGAAAAAATATCCCCCTCTAGCGGCAGAAGGCGGAATAGCAGCTTCCCATTAGTTTCTATGGATGAAAAGAGCAGATACAGATTAAATGGTTTTCAATGCATTCCTATGGGAAATGCAGATTCGACTTAAGAACTTTTCGACCTGAGAACTGCCTTCCAATACGGATTAAGTTCGTAAGTCGAGACCCCACTGTATTTGTTGTCTGCCTGGTTCAAAATTAAAGCAAAGGAGAAAACGATCAAGTTTATAAGTTCCCAAAACCAACATCCAGACTTCACCAACGTGAAGCTATGCCACCCCAACCTATTCTTATTCAAGCGTAAGTACCCTCTTTCCCCGAAAAGAAGACATAACCTGAAAATAAGCTCTAGTATGATTTTTCAGGATGCTTGTAATATAAGCCCTACCCCAAAAATAAGCCCCAGTTATGTGAAACCCTGCCCTCCAACATTGAGCATCAACCAGAAGAAGATGACATGACCATATTTGAATAAATGTAGATTGTTGTACATGAAAAAAAATAAAACATCCCCTGAAAATAAACCCTAATGCATTTTTGAAGCAAAAATTAATATAAGAACCTGTCTTATTTTGGGGAAAACATGGTACTTTCAGTATGAAAAGTCACTGTGTTGTTTTTACAATTTTAGCTTGAAATATAATCATAGTGGAAACAAAGCCATGTCTATGTAGGCCAGTACATCTCCTGCTTTAAAAATGGCAGTCCTCTAACTGGAAACATCCCTCATTTGAAAGGTTACTAAGTCTTATTTATTTGGTACATTTACATTGTGCCTTTGAGTTTCTATCTCCATAGTTCTTATTTTATCCTAACGATAACCCTGTAAGGTAGGCCATAGTTAGGACTGTGAGAGAGTTTGACTGGTCCAAGATCGTCCAATGTGTTTCTTGGTCTGGGGGCTGAGGGTAGCAAGGGCTAGAAAGATCTCCCAAGTCCTAGACAACACTTTTACTACTACACCACACAGGGTTTTCATCAGTCTAAAGCTCTTGGTATAAAATCAAAGAACCAGAGGAAGGAAGATCAAGGGCCTTTACGCTGCCAGTCAAAAACAAGTCCTAGACTCAGAGAACAGACTGAGCAGACACAAGGAAAGACTTTCAGTTAAGTCTTCTCTAAACTGAGGCGTACTGTATTTCTATTTCATTTATAATAATTTTTTCCAGATTTGCATGTGCAAGTTAATGGAATCTGTGTCTTCTTTTTAGTGATGCATTCCATCTCTCTGATCTTTTTGGCAACACATATACTTTATATGCACTTAAAAATAACTCCTTTTGTACAAATTATACTGATTCTCATTGATTTGTTGCAACCCGGGCTCTCCATCTTGACAACCTAAACAA